CCGAATGTAGGCTTTGATCATTCAAATTTCTAATATATAAAGAATTCGGTAGAGTCCCCTCCCCGTCCCCCTTCAGACGACGCCTTTTGACGCGAATATACTCATGGAAAACCCAAAACCAGCCACGCTGTAGAAAATGACGGGGAGAAGCAATGGATTAAAGCAGGGGTCTCCAACTTTGGCCACTTGAAGCCTGGGGGTCTTCAACTCCCAGAATTCCCCAGCCTTCTGGGAGTTGAAGTCCCCCAGGCTTAAAGTGGCCAGGGTTGGAGACGCCTGGATTAAAGTAAGACTTGACTGCTCACCTGGCCTTTTGCCCCGTGGCAAAGTTCAGACGAGAACGGGCTGGAGTGGATTGTCAGCCAAGAAATCTTTAGCCCCGCTTAATTTCAGAGCCTTGAGCTCTCGTGGGATGTTCCCGTGGGAGTCAGACTTCCACTTACCCCACCGGAAATAGAAGCGAAAGTGGAAGCTCTCGTAGGGAAGGGCCTCCGTTCTGCGTGCAGACGCGAACAGGAATTAAGACAAGCGGGCGGGGAAGGACTCCGCCATCTGGGAACGCGGAGCTGAGCAAAGTGAGAAGTTTGTCGAGGAGGACGCCTGGCTGAAAAGAATGTAAAAAGTTCTACAGCAACCCTTTTTCCTCTTGGAGGAGAAGCAACGCGAATAGATGCCCCGGCACCCCTGTAGATCCCCCGGGGAAAGGGACGAGGATGCTTGGTCTTAAGTCTCAAACTAAACATAGTTTCAGGTTTTGCATTTAAGATAAACGTATGTCTTCTGCAATAGTTTTTGTGCTGCCTGTATGTTTTTAACTTTATGTGCTGCCATGACTTTTTATAATGATGATGATGGATAGGCGTCTTAAAAGCCATAATGGTCAATTTGGATCTCTCCATAAATGACAGTATTTGAACAATCAGTTAAATCAATATTTACTATGCAGTATAAAAAACCCCAATAAATTAAAATCTAATCTGAAGATCCGCCCCCATTTTAAATTTACTGGGACAAAACCTTGTAGCCTCCATCCCTGTCAAATGTTTATGATTCCCATCAAAATGGACTTTGTTGCAGCCAGTTTGCTTCCATTTTTGATGGGAGTTTTTTTGTTGTTGTTCTTCAGGACATCCAGTAATTGTCAAGCGATTTTAAAATGATTTTAATATATACTTTGTTCTTTTAGGATTTACTGCCATGTCTGATTTTGAAACTGAAGATACTGAAGAGACTATAACTTGTCTGCAAATCACTATTTATCATCCAAAACAAGAAGAAAAAGCAGTCTTTCGGGGTTTAAGCTTCCATCACCAACAACAGCTGAGAGCAGATGACATAGTGAAATTTGGAAGAGATTCGAACATCTGTCGTTTTCACTTTGCAGATTCACGGGTTTCAAGGGTTCAGTTTGGCCTTCAGTTTTTCAGGCACTTCAACAGCTCAGAGTTTGGTTTTGAAATTAAGAACTTGAGCAAAAAGGGAAAGTTAACTGTGGATGGTGTTGAACTGGCCTATTTAAATAAAGTCAATCTACCAGATAACTGTATGGTTTGCTTTGGAGATTACCAGATGCAATTGGAAAAACAAGAAGGACAATGTGAAGACTACTTTAACATCTGTTTTGAATTGACCAGGATGCCACTATTACAAGAAAAAAATCTAGTTTTGAAAAAACCAGTATGTGAAAGTAGTTCGTATGCCCAATTTCCAACAGAGATGGATGAGAATGAATAAATTGGAAAATTCCATGAAAACAATTTCAGTGGTCAGTTTTACTTTGTGTGCTATGGTAGTTGAAATGATATCTGTACATCTGTATTGTCACCTGCATTGCCAATAGACCAGCATCTTTCTGGAGCTACAAGAGGCACTTGATGAATGGCCAATCATAAAAATTTAATAAATATTGTTTCAACATTGCTATCTTTGAAAACTTCCTTCCTTCCATCAACCACTCCAAGCAGCTATTTATAATTCTTTATTGGGATTGGAATTCTTTATTGGCCATGTGTGATTAGACACAAAAGGAATTGTGTCTCCAGTGCATACGCTCTCTAAACCAGTGTATATACAACAGTAGTGATAGATCATTATCATAGTCATTGTAAAAATACATTCATCGTAAAACATTAGATACAACATTTAGTGATAGTCATGGATACTAAATAAGCACTCAACACAAATCATAATTGGATACTAAGTAAACGATATAAAGGGTAAGATAAAAGCAACAAAGTTATAGACATAAGAAGATAGGTAATAGGGAAGATGAGAATAATAGTAATACTGCTTTTCTAGATAGTTTGACAGTGTTGTGGGAATTGGTTGTTTAACAGAGTGATGGTATGGGTGAAAAAAACTGTCCTTGTGTCTGGTTGTTATAACGTGCAGTGTCCTATAACATTTTGAGGGTAGAAGTTGAAACAGTTTGTCCAGGATGCAAGGGGTCTGTAGACTCTATACTGGCTTGTGCAGTATACAGATCCTCAATGGAAGGCAGATTGGTAGCAATTGTTATTTCTGCAGTTCTAATTATTTATCTGTATTTAGATCCAAGTTGTACTGATGTTTGTACAAAGAACTTAATGCTTCCATTTTTTCTCCCAACATTTTCTTCTATATTTTATCTTTTACTTATAAAAGCATTTGATAACTCAGTGTTTTAAATTGATGAACACAAGAGAAATAGGTTTGTTTTTATAAGTATCTTTAAGAAACATTTTGCCCAATGGTGAGTGGCTTCCAGTTTGAGCTTCTTCGGTGACAGACAGAAATCCGCGATCGTGTGTGGTTTCGGTCTGGGCTCGCCGCTGGAGCGCCCCAAGCCAGCTGGTTTCAGGGCTGTCCCTGAAGCCATCCCATAGAGGAGGTGAAGAGAGGGGAGACTGCCAGCAGGGTTGAGGAGAGCTGCATCTCTCCTCAGCTGGCCATTACTCCCTTTCCTGAAGGCGGCTGCAGCGGTGGTCAGAAATGGCCACCCCAAAGAAGAACTCGACCGGAAAAGAATGTGTAGGAGGAAGATAAGAAGTGAAAGTTTTGGCTGACCGGGTTAAATTGCAAAAGCAACAACTAAGGTACCCTGGAATTTAAACTTACAAAAAAATAACATCGTTCCCAAAGAAGAGTCTGAAGCAGCAAAGGAAAGTGAAAAGGGAAAGGTTTTTTTTTTTTCTTCTCTCCCTTTCCCTATACTGACAACTAAGAGACTTAAATAAGAAATCGGAAAAATCCGCTTTGACATCAACAGGCAATTAAGCTAAAAATAAAACAAAATGTCAAAGGGATAATAAAGATTCCTGGACACTAATTTTTTTTTCATAAGCAGGAAAGGAGAGAAAAAGAATAAAAGGGCAGGATCTGGAAAGAGGGAGGAGACTGCCTGGAATTGAAAGGAATCTATAGTACAACTTCAACAAGACTTCTAAAAGATACATTTTAACTGAAACTTTGTAACTAAACAGTAGAACCCCAGGAAGAGAAAGTGAAAAAAAAGCAAAAAGAAACAGCTTGCGTGTATTTGGGGAAAGCAACAGAAGAGGGGAATACAGAAGAGAGAAATAGAGGTAGAGAAACAAGGGGGTAAAAAGGGGAGAGAGAAGAAGAGAGGGAAGAAGGAAGGGAAAAGAAGTTACAAAGGACCGAAACAAGATATAGAGAAACGGCCTATTTAGAGATAATGGGTGAAAATTTAACTGGAAAAGGGATTCTGTAAAGATACATAAGATTGTATTGTTATATTAGTAATAGAAATAATTTTAGAAAATTGGAAACAATGTATGATTAAAATGAGGGATAAAATAGTGTAATTTAGTGAAATGTTTGTTGATAAAATAAATGAAATAAAACAAATGAGGAAAATTGAATTAGGGACGGGAACATTTTAATTAGTTAATGCTAAGGGGGGAATTAATCATGGTAAGCTTATAATTGTTCCCATAGAAGTATGATATTTAATTGAAAAGTAATGTTAAAGAAGTTAAGATTTTAATGAATATTAACATTAATGATAGAATTGAATTGGAATGGAATGCGTTGTTTTAATTACATATATTTATAATCTTTTTTAAAAAAAGAATATAGTATGTATTTTAAGAATGTACCAAGCAGAATCCGAATGGAAGTTATGTATTATATTGAATGTTAAAACTTTAAGGTATATATTGAAGCCTAAATAAGAGTTAAATGGATAAACTTAAAAGATATAAAGGTGTCATACTCCAATCAGCAACTACAGGAGAAACTTTAATGAGAAAAGATAATATGAAATTGAAATAGGACAGACAAAAAATACAAATCTAATTTGAATCAAGAAGAGATAATTAAAATAAAATTGAAAAAATTAAAAGAGGGGAGAAGCTATGTAGAAAATGTTAAAACAGTAATAAGATGTGGAATAGAACATAAAAATGAGCATGAAATTGAATTTGTGTCTGTATGAAGAAATGTAACCCGGGATTACGCTACTTTCAAAAAAGTTGTGGTTTTTTTTTTTTTTTTGTGAAAACTCAAATAAAATTTACAAAAAAGAAAGAAACATTTTGCCCAATGATGTGGTTAACACTTGGAAAACAATTTAATTTTTTTAAAAAATATTTAAAGTCCTGAATGGTGTGAGGGTTTGCTTATTTAGTATGGACTTATTTGGGCATTAAAGTCAGTAAATTTCTTAAAATGTGTACTAATTTTAAAGACTTAGATCTCAAAATCAAAAGATAATTGGACATCTATATAAAATAATCAGTAAAAGGCATTGAGTTTGCTTGTTAGAGGGTCACTAAAGGGGAACACATGGCCCGGGATATTGCAACATCATAAATAGGTGCCAGCTGCCAAGGATCTGAATTTTGATCACATGACCATGGGGTCGTAAGTGTGAGAAACAATCATAAATCACTTTTTTTCACTGATGTAAATTTGAACGTTCACTAAGCAAAGTGTTGTTAGGTTGTGGACTACCTCTATAATGGAACAATAAGACTCAAAAAATATAAGGCTAGTTATGAAGTGCATAAAAAATTTATTCACAGCTTGATAAATCTAAACATTTAAGGATTTATGCATTTATGAAGTGACAGAAATATTAAACCATACACACATATATATCTATATATCTGCACTGTACAAAATCTCTTATGAAGCATAGTCCAAGAACTGAAAATACGGAACTCAATTTTTTTCAGCAGCAAACTTCTACTTTAGAAATGCAATATATGAAGAAAAAATTGTGTAAGGTATTGTGAATGATAAAATTTGTCTTTTAATTTAAACAGAAAAGGCACAGGAAAAGAAATCAAATGATGGCCTTAGTATACATTAAATTTTTACATATAAATATATCATAACTATTTACTGTTGTTGCCCTCGTCAAACCCATAACTCGAGTTGTGAATAATGTAAACAATAAATATTCTGAATCTGGAATCATAACCTATAAATTAATCTATAAAAAAGTTAAATGAATCAATGTGGCAGTAATAAATTTTGTTACAGAGCAGAAAAGAGACAAATGCCAAGCACAAGCTTACCAAGTAGAATATATGTAGTTATTAGTGTATGCCTTTTAGTGGTTTTAGAAACCCCTACTGCATTTGGTAGCAAAGAGATGTTCAGGTTTTGTTCAGCAGCTGGCAGCTCTGGTTAATTTTGTCAGTCCTTGGAACCCAATTAAGGTCAGATCTGAGTAGTACTTGGGACAGAAATTCCAGTCAATACGATAGCTGTAGTATAGACTGAGAAGTGGAAAAAAGATACTGGAAGAAAACTGTCATGCAACTTCTAGATGTTGTTGTCATGCAACAACAACAACAAAAGTGGGTGGGTGGGTTGGAGAAGGTAACTCTTGGGGTTTTTTCATGTCCATGAAGAGGTTTTTTTGCGTGTGTCAAACTTGACTTGAAGGAAACAAACTTAAAAATCAAATGATTTTCAGTGTTGCAGTTCTGGTTTTCCTTTTGACTGTAGCAGCAGCTGTTAGAAGCCATCATGTTGTCTATGTGTGTCTATGGCATTTCATTATTGATGCTTTGCAAGAAAACTCTTGTTAGGAAGCTTAGAGCATGACCAGTAGGACAAAATGAAGTTCAACAACCCAAGGAGGTATGGAAGTAAACACTGCTGCTCCCTGATTTACAGTACTACATTGCTATACTCTGAAAATGGTTATAAATCAGATACTTGTGAGAGAGACATGTCTACTTTATTATACAAATGTAACCATCATTCCAAAGCAGTTTTTGTCTCATCAGAAAAACAGTTTTATGATAAGTTTTCTAGTCTCAATGGTTAGAACCAATTAAGTACAAGGATTTTTTTTGGGGGGGGGGGGGGGATTGAACCATACTGGTAAAAGTAACATTTTTTGAATAATAGTGTCATCACTATCCATTTTCAGAAGTTATTCTGATAAACTGAGTTTAAATTACAAGAATGGAATGTTTCACATACTTCAGAAAGATATATTTTGATTGGAATGTGCATTTGCATTGATTTAGCCAAGAAAATATTCATGTTGTCGATATTTTACAAATCAGAAGGGCACTAAATTACTAATTATTAGACAATAGTTTACATAATTTAAAAATTAAGTAACTATATTAGAAGCATTTATCATTTTAATTTGGAAGAACAGTGGAACCTTAAAATGCAAACCTCTGCGTTTTGGTATCCAATGTTTTGAAAGAAAGCTGTCTTCAATATTTCCAAATTTCTGTAGTTACATGGCTCATTACTGCCATGATAAATTTTATTTATAATGCTTTAGCTTTATAAAGAAAATGCTTTCAAATGTAAGATATTGTGCTTGAGATTTAATCCCAGTAAAACGCAAGGAGGAATAAACAAAAAACACATCCCAAACTTTATTTAATTTTCAAACCAAATTAAACTGAAAAAAAGTAAAACTGTTAGGGATGCTTAAGCTGAATAGCAGAACATGTAGTTTGCTTTCACCACGTCCAGTCATCAACATTTCCAGATAAATCTGGGAATTGCTTGAAACATCAAGAGAACTGGGAAAGTAGTGCCAATGCTTGGAAGATTGTGCTATATGGATCAAGACTGACTCAATATAAGGCAGCATCCTATGTTTTTTGGAAGCCATAGTAGAATTCCTATTCTTAGTTTCATACTTCAAGTACAAATGTGCTGATCAGATTTCCTGCTAAAATTATGTTAATGTAGGTATAGCGGTACTTTGGTTACTCAACTGCTTTATAACTGATTGAATTTGGTACTCAATGCATTTTGATGTGAACATTTTGTCCTGGTACTCATTGCTTAGTACTCAATGCACAAGCTAGAACTTGTCTGTGTTGGCTGCCTTGTGACTCACTATATTAGTCCTTATGGGAAAAATCAATTTGGTACTCATTGTATCTCCCAGAATCAATTAATGATAAGTACTGAGATACCACTGTATTTAAAGAAAAAAAAAAACCACCCAAAGACTGAAATAGGACAATTGATTAAAACATTCAGCTGTAACGCCATATTTAATGTAGGCGGCTGTATGCTTAAACTAAAAACAGACATAATAGAATCATTCAAGTATAAACATTTAAAAGGTAGATTATAAAAATTGCACTTACAATTCAGTTCAGATAGCAAACCACAATTGTTAGCAAACCATATTGTTTAATTGACTTAAGGTAGCATAGATTCCTTCTTTTTCTAGAAATCTGGAGCTCAGTCACCAACAGCAGTCACTGTATCATTTCCTTATTGTAAAAGGAAGTTTTGCAGCAGCAGCAGCAGCAGTGATTACAAGATTGTGCACCATACAGGTTTGTAGGTTTTCCAATTTCAGCCATTCTGCTAGGCACCCAATGGCTAATTTCATTATCTCACTTCTTGATCAACACCAGAAGTTTTTTGGTCTGTTGAAGAAAGTTCTAAAACAGGATTTACAAATCCAGCATACTCTGAATTGCCGTTATCATCCATTTCTGCACTAACGAAGTCATTCTCCCATTCCAAACCGGTAGAATCATCAGAGGTGGAAGTTGGGTTACTTCCAGTTTTCTTGCCATTAAATTTCAATGCTGCCCGGAGAATATCTTCTTCAGTTTTTGAACGTTCTCTCAAAGGGATCATTCTGTTTATACCTGCCATTAAAAAATGTTTTTATAGAATCCTTGAATGATTTAAAAGCTGTCTTTCCTTGGTTCTTAGGTTTCATGTAGATACATCCTGAGTCAATTACTATTTTGTTTGCAAAATATCTAATATTGGGAGGCAAATCCATGTAGCAGCCAGGAAATGTTATGGTACTTCAAATATTTAAGACATCAGCATGACAGATATTTATGGAACAGAATCCACTTCACCAATAGTCAAGTTTAGTGTGGTTTCAGAATTCAGCTTTCAAACAAACTTGACAAAACTTGTGATGAGGAATATATTAGGAAAATCAATCAATCAATTTTATTTACAGCCAGAAGGCCAAATGAGTAAGTTACAAACTCAATCTAAATTAATATATTAAGAAAATAAACTCATTGAGTGTGCGCTATCACAAAAATTAATCTTTCTTTAAAATCCTACTTAGCTTATTTTTCTGCAGCTGTTGTCTTAACCAGCCTATGAAAGACATTTGAAAACTCTTTTCTATTAATTCTAACATTAAAAAACTTTAAATTCTGCCAAATATTACATGTCTACTTTCTCTACCTTCCATGCATCAAAATTGTTCTTGTGTGATTATATTTAAGCAATATAGATATGTAGAACATTCTCTGTACTATGTAGAAATATATAAATAAATAATCAGGTATTAGCCTTTCTTCTGCATGCTCTGTGAGGCCAATAGAGCAACAATATACTGATTTTTCTAATGATATCTATTTCAGTAGTAAAAAAATTTATAGCTGAGGAAAATTCATCTTTTTGCAACGCAAATAGGAGAATACTGGTAGTCCTCGGTTAACAACAGTAATTGGGATTGGAATTTGTATTGCTAAGCAATGTGGTCATGAAGCACGCCATCACACAACCACATTGCTTAGCTTCTGAGGTCTCCCAAAGCCTCATGAGTGGGCCATGCTATTCCAACAAGAGCCTGAGCAGGAAGAAAGCCTGGTGAAGCCACAGCTACCTCCCATAGGGCCAGGTCAGGCATGTCTACTTAACAGGGGATGGAAGACGGCTAAGGTCAGTTGGGTGCAGCAAAGCAGAGTGCCAGGGATTTTGCACTGTGGCACTGGGGCGGTTGGTATGGGGCTTGAGGCAGCACTCCTTGGTAGTGACTACATTGAAATAGAGGCTTGAAGACAATGGTGGCCAAGATGAGATGCTGAAGGCCCTGGACCTCTACTTCAACCCCAGCATTACTGCTAAGGAGTGCCACAGGGAAGAGAGACAGATGGTGGTGGTAGGTTTGGAGGTCTAGGTGTGGGCAAGCTACCAAGTGTTCGAAATTTCAGGGGCTTGGTGTAGATACCATTTGTTCAGTGTTGCTGTTAACATTGAATGGCTGCTAAACAATCATAATTTGGGAGCTACCTCTATAGTGCATTTCTAAATGTTCTGCTATTGTGGACTACTAAATATTTAAAAAATATGGGTGAGGGCACCCAAACTCATCCTCCCTGTTTCTGTTTTTAAAAACATGGGAAGTCATGCTTCTTAATGAATAAGGTAATGCTTATAGTTACATTTGCATATGCTTTGTTCTACCTTTATTTTTAAAGGCTTTAAAATTTAATTTTGTACTAAAATGTATTTACCATTTGAATTATATTGTATTCCATGCCATGTCAAGAATGTTCTTTTGTCTGAATCTCTGAGTTCTAAGTCTTTCATATCAGTGAGGATGATGTTGCATCTCTTCTTGTACTAGGAGATTCATATTCAACTTGATGGTGGATAATCTGACCACAGAAACTATATACCATCAGAAAAGTTCCAAGTAGTGAACATAAGGAGGAAGGATTGAGGGACTGAGCAGACTGTAACCAATGAATACAGAAAGACTGCAGATTGCCATTGGTCTGCAGGCCACAAAATGGGTTTCACTGCTATAAATAATAGAACAACTAGGATACAACTAGCAACTATCCTCAAAATATCTGTAATTCTCAAGATCCACAGCACATTCATCATGTGAGAATGGGAAAATCAAATTTTACATGAATTAACTCAGGTATTTCAAAATTAATATTACTTGCCCAATGTTTATGTATATGCAAATCCTCAATACAGTTTAGGATTACCTACTGCAATTTCTTCTTTATTCATACTTCCCTCAGAGGGATTGGAAACCTAGACAGCTTATGAAATTTTAATAATGCAGTTTTGATTTTTAAAACCCCAAAGTGTACACAGTATTGAATTAGTTTTGGATCACTTTAGATCAATTAAACCATTATTATAGAACAATAGAATTCCTCATGCTACTAAGCTCGAAATTCTTGGTTTGGATAACTTAGAACTGTGTCGCTTGTGGTCAGACCTATATATTGCATACAAAATTATACATAGTAATGTGTTACCTGTAAATGACTTTTTCGGCTTTAATCGCAATAGTATGCGCATGAACAACTACTTTAAACTCAGTGTAAATCATTCTAAACTTGACTGTGAAAAATATGGTTTCTGTAATTGAGTTATCAAAGTGTGGAATGCCCTACCTGATTCAGTTGTCTCAGCTACAGTTTTTCACAGTTTCAGTCACAAATTGACTTCCGTGGACCTTACTTCATACTTAAGTGGTCAGTAGAGGGGGCATGCATAAGTGCACTAATGTGCCTATTGTCCCTGTCATTGTATTTTTATTCTCTTATTCTTGTTCTCGTTTTTGTTTGACAATTTCCAATAAATAAATAAAAATATACCTTCTTCATCTTCCCATTCTAAATCTAAGGAATTACTGTCATCGTTTCCACTTGTAGATTTGGTTTTGGTCATTAAATCGCAACTGCTCTCTGTATTTGGTGTTAGAACAGTAGCATCTGATGAAAGTCCTGTAATAAAAAAAATAAATGTACTTGAACAGAAGAGGAGAGGAATAGAAGGGAAAAGGACATGAAAAATAATTCCTCATTTGCACACTGATAAGTTCTCAACAAAGTTTTATAATTTATTTTATAAAGTAATAGGACTTTAGTAAAAGGAATTGATTTACAACATTTTTAAATTTTTTTCAATAATAATAAACAGTTAAATGAATATTTTAGCAATATTAATGTTTAGTCAAGTAATGGACTGGAGTTCCTAAAAACAAAACTTGGTTCCACAGGAACTTCTGATAAAGGAAAACAATCTTTTCTTCCTAAAGCCATCTATAAGTTTCCAAAAATTAACTATGGATATGTTGGGTGCAAAGAATCAGGACCACACGTTCTAGTTCAGCTGATTTATTGCTCATGTCTATAGCACTTAGATTTATATACAGCACTCTCTAAGTGGTTTACAAAGTCAGCATATTGCCCCCAACAATCTGGGTCATCATTTTACTAATGGATGGAAGTCTGAGTCAACCTTGATCCGTTCAGGATCAAACTCCTGACAGTGGGCGGAATCAACACTGCATTCAACCACTGCACCACCATGGCTCAGAATCTAGTCAACGAATGGTCAGCACTAAATTGGTGCTAGACAACAGTTAATGGAAATAAAGAGGGGGCTGGACTTGGACCACTCATGAGAAAATAGTGATTATAGGATTAGTCCTCTCTTGATTCTGACCTCTGCCTCTTGCTCTTCTATATCATGGAGCTAGGTAAACCTCTTGGAGACGATGTAGGAACTACATCAGAATCTGAAAACGTATCTCTCCAACGTTTATCTTTCATCAAACATACATACATACATACATACATATATAAAGCCTCCTAAATAAAAGAAAGTAATGATGTCTTTCAGAAGTAAGGAGACATTGCTTGTTTCAAAAGGAATTGAATGATTGCAATTCATAGTCATATAAGACATCAGAGGCTGTTTTATGTTCACTGACATGTAGGTGAAAATAGCAAATTACAAATGGGGAAATTGTAGAAAATATATACATAGAAAACTTACTACTAGTGCGGAAAGCTTCATATGGCAGTTTTACATTTCTCAAATAAGAATCCAAGTCTTCTTCTACCATAGAACTGTAAAAAAAAGTTATACCAAGTAGGCCTATGTTCAGAAAAATATTTTGGAAATGAAAACAGGTCTACTATGCTGACAAAATGTATTAACTTTGTTTTTATTTTAAGAAAAGAATGTTGCATAAGTGGCTGCCAAAATTCATTTATGGATGATCAAAAGTAGAACTGAAAACCTTATCTAATACAATTGGATTTCTAAAAGAGATAGCATTAGCTTTTGCTTTGTTCTTGCCTTTTTTCAATATTTTCTGTTAAACATGTAAGGTATACAATTCTACTATTTGAAATTCAAATTTTAAATAGTTTCTGACTTACTGCTTATTTAAAATTCCTTTTCCTCTTCCTCAACTTTAGTTGTTCCTCTTACCTTTGGGCATCTCCGTGATTTGCTTTCTGAGTTATTCTCTGCAATTTTTGTTGCTAACAAAAATAAGGGGGAAAAAAAGAAACAGCCACTTAATGATAAGATCTTCCAAGTTAAGAGTATAAGCAATATTATCATAGCATATCAATTTCTAGGGTCAGTACTCAACAAAATAACATAAGTTTGCTTGCACTCTATGTCTGATATATTGTTTCTCATTATCACTGGAATGTATGTTATGTGAATAAAAGTAATATAGACTGTCCAAAATTATAAGATCAGACAATTCAAATATGAGGATGAGTTAAAAATATTTTTTAAAATATTCCATAATTTATTATTGCTTGTAAATGAACAAAAACAATTTTCATGATATCTCTGAGAATTCTACCTTGTAACAAATTAAGAATTAGAGAATTCAATCTGCAATAGTTAGCCTGATGCTGAGATCATAGATCAACTAATTCTTGAAAAGGTAATATTGTATGGTGAAGGCAAAATAAATACCTGCTTTTGAAAGTGTAGAAAAAAGAATATTAAGACATTTCCTTTGCTTGAAAAAAAATGCATTTCTCTAAATGAGTAATACGTAAAAGCAGCTTAGTATGTGGAACTGTTGTAGAAAGTAATCATCTAATTCGCTTTTTGAACTGGGCTATTCGTATCTTCAGTAAAGGAGCCTTTGAAACAATGGCATCTCTCACTTTTTTCTATATAAAGGGCACAATCCAACAAGCTGTGTCAGATTCCTGAGCATAGTATGTTTTTACACACACATGTGCACCCTCCGTTGTTACTTATTCTGTAGCCTTTCGCATAGCAAATAATTTCAGTCTTGATTTTTTTGGGCTACTAGTCTGCATGCTACTATTTCTATGACCTTAATGTGTTTTGGCCCTGATGTTCCACTCACCTTTGATTTGGAATCATTTTCAATAAGCAAACAAACAAATCCCTAGAGATTTGTTGAAATGTGGGCAAACAACAAAGATTTCTAACAATCTCTCTTCTCCTGAAATATCTGGCTTGAGAGGAAAATACCTAATTTGTTACTTTCTTGTAGGTATCAATTCATAAGTAAACTGCCTTGCAGGGCTCTTAAAATCAGCTAAAGTATAATGTTGTTTTGTAGGAGACTTCAACAATATTAGCCTTGTTAGGCCATCAGTTAATGAGCCAGAAAACCTATCAGAGGGAGATACAAGAATTCAAGTTCCTAATTTGCTCATGCATATTCCCTGATTACCGAAGAAGCAGTTTTAAAATGTGAGATCAGACATTATTTGACAGTTTATAACTTCTGTAGTGTGTAAAGACCCCAATGTTGACATTTGTGCTAGAAACCTATTTCAAAGAAGGAACAAAAAACAACAAACAGGTAAAATTAAACTCAGAAAGGTTGAGCATAAAAAAATACTAGTGAAAAGAACAGAATGGAAAGACATAAAGTTAAAAATTGTTTAAAAATCAAAACTAATATTTATCTATGGATGATTGTAATAACAATGATTCTATTCATATTCCAAAGAGAGTAAGAACATACATAATTATTCCCAACTACACTCTGAGGCAAATATAGCTGAAATATATTAATATTACAGACAGTTTTCAGTAAATGTCATAATTGAGATCTCATTCTATGTATCCTATAATATGAAATGCCACTGACTATTTCCTGTTGGTTTTCAGATTTACTTTATGGATTATATTACATTTCCCTTTTTGCTTTCAATGATTTTCCTCTACATCCTTAATATTCAAGTTCTTTACTTTTTTTTTTTTGGCAAAATACTCCCTTCCTTCTTTGTTGCCAGTCAACAATTTATAATAAGACCAAATACTGTATTTAGAACAAAATAGAATTCTTTATTGGCCAAGTATGATTGGACACACAAGGAATTTTTCTCCAGTGCATAAGTTCTCAGTACATACAAATAAGTGATAAATCATGATCATAATAATCATAACAGTACATTCATCATAAATCATAAGATTTTACACTAAACTGCTAACGCAGAATTAAACATTTGAGCCTATTTTTGTGAATTAACAATTCTATAGAACAGCTTCGTGTGCAAATATAGATACTGAAATATTATGATTTATTCACAAGTTAAAGCCAATAAATGCTGGAGTTTAAAATAGAAAGAAGACAAGGATCTTGGCATACATATTATATTAAACAAACATGGACAGGACTTCTTTATTTGTTCAGCAATTTTTATTGGCCAAAAGAAAAAAAAATACAAATCAGAGAGCATTAGCAACTTATCTACATGGTATGAACCATAAGTGTAAAAAAAATTGGTTTAGCATTATAGCTAGTATCTAGTGAGAGACTAGAAAAAAATAGAAACTGCTACAAATCAGTGTTAATGCTGGATGTTGTTTTAAAAAGCACATGAAACTAAGAGGAAGATATAAATAGACACTCTAATACATATATATTTGGGGTCTTTTCCCCTCACCTCCACGAACTTTCTTTGCTTTGCTGCCCTGGCTCTTTCACGCTGCACAGCATATAAAGTCTCCTCTTCTATTCTTAACTTCTCCTCTTGTATGGCTAACTGTATATGAACAAAATAATAATGGTTAACGAAAGAAAACCTAGCTATCTCTCCTATGAAAGTAAGTGCACTAAATTTAAAGTAAAGGTACTTATAAAAAAATCTGAAACATAAAATATACTAAGATTTAAAAATAAAGTATTTCATATTTAAGACAACTTTTAATTGTACTATGCATGCTATTTTAAAATTCCTTTATCTTTTTTAGTTGAATTAGTCATGTCTTTTTTTATTACACCTTTTTATTTGAAATGTAGGGCAGACATTTAAAACATTTTATTTAATGGTATTAACTTATGTAAGACAAAGGAGAAGATCAAAAATTGTCCTTCAATACTGATAAAGAATGAAGTAATAATTACTTCCATTCTAAAAGTAATATTGATTTGAGCCCGTATTTAGGCAGCAACATACATATATCCATGAAGCAAACAACAGTTGCTTGGTCTAAATTGAAGTGGCTGCTCTGAGCCTGAGGCAACTATTTTCAAACTTGAGTGCCTTCATATGCAGAAAGCACAGTTATTTACTGTTGGAGTTACCTAGTTAGACACATTTTTATGCTTCTATAGATGTAGAGTTCTAACTGCAACACATGGGAAGAAATCTCACCAGATTAAATTACACAGCATGTATCTCTACAAGACAAATAATGAGAAATATTTTTGTTACAGAACACATTTTCAGTACTTCAACTACCCAAAGGACAAATTTTTGCATTTTTCCCTGTGTTTATAGTATTATTACTGTAAAGCAATAGCAAGGGATCTTCCATTAACTAAGCCAAGCAATTTTATAATAAAGGATATACAACTAACTATTGATTTTACTTCTAACTTTCAGAGTGATACTGAAACAGACATGTACAATCTTTTTCACAATGGCATATACTATTACCATGCTCTCCTGTTTTCTTAATACATTTCTAAATTACCCATTAACTAGAAATTTTCTGGATACATTATAGTTATAGTAGCTTAAAGCAAACAATAAAGTAGCAATAATCGATACAGTATTTGATAAAAATAAAAGGAAATTAGCTGAAAAGAACAACAAATATGTTACAGAATGGGAAAACAATATTAAGTCAGGTATCTGATATATCTCCTTAGCAGCTGCACAACCTTTCTAATGTTTCTCTTCACAGAAAAAAACTACATTGTTGCTATTTGAAGATACTACCCAATTTAGACAATTATTCCAGACTCCATAAAAGCACTGACTGTAAATCTGGGTCCAAGGTTTGAAGCTTTCAATGCAGATCAAGTGGTACACGAGGAGAGGGTCACACAAAATACTCAGAAGCCAAACCATAACCATCAGTTTTGGAAGCTTGGAATGATTTTGGCTACTGGGCCTTTGAATAAGAAATGACTGCACAAATATTTTGTCCTCTTTGTGTCAACATTTATCTAGCACTCCAAGCTAATACCTAGCTGCTCCTTTTATACTAAACTTTAGTAACATTTATCTAAACCATTTCCCTATGAATTTATTTTCATTCATGACAACATTTCTGCTTGGTATTTTTTCCTCCTCACTCAGTCCCTTTAATTTCAATATTACAATATCCACATTGGATGCTTCACTCACAAAGTTTCCATCTTCAATCAGCGAATTATGAAAACACATTATTTGTGTGCTACTAGAAATTATTTGTCCATGCACAAAGAGGTTATTATGGTTACCTCTGACTGAAGCTTGTCATCTAAAGTTCTCTGTTTTTCAGCAATGGAATTATATTGCCTTTCTTGAAGAGCAGAGATTTCTTCTTCTGTCAGAGGTCTGAAGAAAAAGAAGAAAGAGTGCCACGCCCGTCATTCTGATCTCTTTAGAGTTGGAATGTCAGTTTCAATGTTTAAGAATTAGAAGGTTAAGAAATTTTCGGCATACAAATCTGTACTGAGGCATCTTTTCTGAGTGCCGAGACAACTGGTCATTATAGGAGCAATGGTGGTGCAGTGGTTAGAATGCAGCATTGCAGGCTAATTCTGCTGACTGCCACCAGTTTGATTCTCACTCAGGCTTCCATTCCTCTGAGGTCAGAAAAATGAGGACCCAAATTGTTGAGGGCAATATGTTGACTCTGTAAACTGCTTAGAGAGGGCTGTGAAGCATTGTGAAGCTGTATATAAGTCTAAGTGCTATTGCAACAGTCAATTAAAAACAAACAAACCAAAATAAACAACAAGAGCCAAATTCAACCTCACATCCAATAGAGAAGTGATGTTTTGCATATATTTTTGCTGATATTTCAGCTTTAAATCTTATTACTCAAATTATACCGAAACAGAAGAGGCTTCACAAGTAGTTAGCATTTTAAATATTTTTAAAAACATATAGTATACAATTGCTTTTGTATAGTGCATATTTTTACTAAATTTACTATGATCCATGTTCTTTTATCCAATTCACCATCCTTTCCACTGTGGGACTCTAAATTAAAGTATTTTAACAGAGGGCTGAGCAATCACATTAACTCATCCAATGAGAAGAATTCACCACAAACCAAAATGGAGTGTTTGGGATTGGATCATGTCCAGCACCACAAATCACTATCTGGACAATATGCATAAACCAACTCCAGAATGTTTTGACAAAAGAAAAACATAATGTTTCAACAGAAAAGTAAAGGTATCACAGATGAATTGCTCCATCCTGCACATCTGTATTTACCATCTTCCTTAGTAAGTAGTTCTACAATTGAATTTAATTTCTCATTAGCAAGTTTTCCCAAACATTCAGAGGAAAAAGCCTCCTTTTGAGACAAGAGAAAACACATTGTGACCTTTTGTGTAACTGATAAATGTTCTCCACCTCTTCATGCAAATCATTAATGAATATGTTGAAGAGAATTAAAACAAGGACCAAATCCTATGACATCTCACTGCATACCTCAGTCTACTTTAATGAGGAGCTACTGATTAACGTTCTTATGGAACAGTTCACTAGGTTAATCTACTTTTCTGAAATCCAATATCTGCATTTCATACTTCGCTTTAGTTTGTCTTAATATCAAGAATTCCACTATTAGAGATTTTCTCTAAAAATCAGCAAGTCTTCCCATTAGTCAGAGATAACCATCTTATGCTTTTCTGCAAACCCATGAAGAAGAAACTTTCTAGGCCCAAAACTACAGAATTTGTCTTACAAATGATATTCCAATGATTAAAAATAACTTTCTATGAAATATATCTTTTTAAAAGAACTAACATTACAATCAAGTAAGTATTTTAGATTTCAAAAATGTCAATTTGCTGAAATGAATTAAATTGAAAAAGTAGATGATTAAAAAGTACGAAGCAAGGAGCATATATGAGAATGGAAAGCAAATCAATACATGAATATAAACTCATACCTTTGGTTGCTTCCTGGACTTTCTCCCTGTTTAAAAAAATAAAATGTAATGCTTTTTAAAAATGAATCTAATTATAAAGTTACTTTCAAAATTGATCTGAAATCTGTAACTTTAAACCCCCAATCTTTTAAAATATCAAATCAATATAAAACTGTCAAATTAAAATATTTAGAAAAACATCTATTGTTATATTTTCAGGCAATAATATGTAAATCCTTCTTCTATTCTTCTCTGAAGTGGAACTGCAACTCTCTGGATTTTTAAAATCAGATTGAGCAGCAAGTCTAAGGAATGCACATTTCAAAGCAAATATCAATTCTTTAATGGAATTATCAGTTGATCAACAGATGTGTTATTTTTATTTTATTTCAAATTATATCTTAAGATTGAATTGTTTTGCCTCTTACAGTTACACTAAATGTCACAGAAGCAAATCTGTTCACAGGACTGTGGTTTCTCATGGTTAGTGAGAAACTGGATATTCACGTTTCACTCAGAGCTTCTCAGCTATAAAGATAGCTATTAGAGCTTCTTAAAGGATGAAAAAGATCACAAACAAGATGTGTAATTTATCTTTCTTTACCAAATGAGAGGATTTATTATTAAAAAAATAAAGATCCACTTTACAAACAAAATCTTGGATACTGTGCCAATCTCTTATACAAAACCTATATTTACATTAAATATATTATACATGTATCTTATGATTAATTTATATTGAAGGTGCTTATAAATTTTTACTTCAAAGTATGTCAGAGGCAAGTTCAGCAAGCAAAGGGGAAAAGCCCATATAAAAGGCTTCTAGAATTGAATCCTAATATCTATATATCTATATCTATATTTATCTGTCTGTCTGTCTACATTGAGGTGTATAAAATAACTGGATATTTATTAGCATTCTTTTGAAAAAGCCAACATTATTTTCCCTGATGAAAGAGCTAAGTTTCCCCCAAATGATTATTACATAACACTATGAATATATAATTTGTCTAAAAAGAACATAATTTAAATAACACAAAATTGTAATTATTCTTAAAACATGGCGTATAACATTTCCCCATCATTCTGCACAGATGCCAGAAACTAAATGTAGTAGTGCAATAATTAATTCTAAGAATTAAATAAATCTTAAGTGCAACCTCTTCTAAACAGTTTTCCAGTTCACAACACTTTTAGTTGCTCTAATTTCAAATACCTTATAAACTAATTTGCATATATAATACATCTACTGAACTTAATAAGGTCAGTATGAAGAACTTACTTCATCACTTTCCACTAGGTTTTCAAACTGAAAATAAGATACAATATTTCAATTAATCAAGCATAAATAATGTGTTTAGTGAAATACCAAATATATATCTACTTCAGACAAAATAAATGTCAGGTGTAGTAAAGCTTAGCAGCTATTTTTTAATAAAAACTGTAAATTATCATTTTAAATTTAAGTGCATAGTACAAATATATAATTTGGTGTGTGTATATATGTATATATGTGTATGTGTGTGTGTGTGTGTATGTATATATACATATACATATACATATATATATATATGATATAGTAGAAAACAATGGAAAAAATATATTGCTCAGTTTGATTTTTAAATTAATAAATTTCTGACCATGCATTAGCATTTGTATTGGGAGTATATAAATTTATTCCACTTTGTGTACAGATAATAAAATTATATCACAGTTTTCATTTGCTTCATTAAATAAAGATAATAAGTCTAACCTAGGATCTAGGACAATTTTTTGTTTTATTTATTTTCCTTATTTGAATACAAACTATTTGCCAAAACCTTTGAATTTTTATATAAGACCACCACATATTATATGTACATATGATCTAATTTAGGTACAGCTTTCTTTGCCAAAACCTTGGGCTTATCTCTAGTTTTACTGAACACAACTTCTATGTAGCAACTGCAATTAATGTCTCCTGATATTTGTTTAAATTTGGTTTTGCCCGTTTTTGGAGAAGTCCAAAAACAGTTTAGGCACTTGATTTAAATATTTTAAACTGTCTTCAAATCCTATAAAGTACCTGTAGATATTTTGATCAAATCTCATAAATATTAGATATCCAAGTCTTTTTTTTTCTGATCAGTTTGGGGATGAAGTATTATGGTACACAAAAGAGTTTGAAGTTTACCTCTTTTGAACAGCTTTAAAACAATAATAGAATATAATATTTAAATCAAATTTAAATCTAGAAAATATTCTGATGTTATAAATATAAATATTCAATCTTATCACATAAATTGTGAATATTTTATTCCTTCTTTATTTGCGTTGCTGTACCTAATTTTAGTCTCAACTCATGCCTTTCTCCCCATGTGTATAGTTAATCTTCTGTCATATAACTACTTTATAAATAGCCAGATGAAGACACTGAAATAAAATAAACAGAAATACAAGCAGAAATAAAAAAATAAACATGCTAGAGTTCGATTAACTTGCCTAAACAAGATAGATTTAATGATTTCCATGAATTAACCTTTGAATAACATTCTTAATATATCCAATAGGTGTAAATTTTTAAGCGCACCTTTAACATTTTAGACATGATTACCTTCAAATAACTGAGGTATTTTATGTTAATTTTGTGCCTGATAAGCTCTGTAATGTACTTATAATTTTTTTCTATATTAAAATAAATTGTTTTCAATTTAGTAAGATTCATGTGTACACCTGTCAAATTATTAACGTTCTTAATGAAGATTAAGTGGGCTAAGACTGCAATTAACAAAAACTAGATGGTCATCAAACAAATTAACTTTCATCTGAATTATTTTAAACAGTATTCTTTTAATATTCTTTGGGATATTCTCTCATTTCTGAAGCAAATTAATTTCTAGGAAAAGCAAAAATATTGGTGAGAGAAGAGTTTTGTCTGCTTAGTAGCCATTTGCAATCACATACATGCAATATTTCACTGATCGTTTGATGTTTGAAAGTCTTCTGGTAACTGGAAGCCACAGATTTTCTTCTGCCATTTATAATTTTTCTAATGTTTGACTTTTGCAGCTTTGGGAAATTATATTCTTAGGGCAATCCTAGGAAAATGCTGTTTATGTCAGGAAAGGGAACCAAAACCAGCAAAAGTAGGATACAAATATTAAGGAACCAGAGAGCTCAAAGAAGGTGGTAATTTGTCACCACCTTCCATCCTTTTTACCCAGTCACATAATGGAACATACACAGCTCATAACTGCATGAATGTTATTACATTTACTTTATCCCAAGGTTACAGTTTTATGTGTTCTTTGCATTTTAATGAACATAAAACATTGCATATAGTGGTTTAATTACCATGTTTCTCTGACAATACGCCCCCCCCCCAATAGGACGGCCCAGCATGTTTTCTAAGCATAAGGTGAAATGAAGCCCCTCCCCCATGGTTTAAATTTAGGCCTATTTAAACCATGTGTTCCCCACCATTTCTCACATCGCTTGAACTATACGAGGTGAAGAGAAATGGGGGGGAAGGGCAGGGGGGGAAACTTGCCTTTAGGAGCCCTGTGCAGGTAGCCTTGGCTAGAGCACCCCACGGGCAGACTCACCTCTATTGGCCGATAGAAGCGCCCCGCGGGCAGTATCGCCTTGCCATGAGGCCACTTCTATTGGCCGATGGAAGCTCCCCGAGGGCAGAGTCACCAGCCGCTTCTATCGGCCGATAGAAGCGGCCTTATGGCGAAGAGTGGCTGCCCGCGGAGCGCTCCTATTAGAAATCAGGGCGGGGGGAAATAGGGCTATCTGAGGGGGAGAAGAAGAGCGGCTGGCTCAGGAAGCAGAAATGCAGCAGGAATCTTGAGATCGTCTGATATTTACTCTGACAACTCAATCGTACGCGATTGAGTTTACAGTTGGGAACCTGATGCGTAGCCAAGTCATGCCTCGCCACGAGGCCGCTTCTACGCTTTTATCGGCTGATAGAAGCAGCCTCGTGGTGAGGCGTGGCTGCCTGCAGGGCGCTCCACGAGGCTGCTTCTATCGGCCAATAGAAGCGGGCCTGTGACTCTGCCATCGGGGTGCTTCTAGCAGCCTTGTAGCAAGGTGAATGCGTGTGGCATTCTAGGTGGGGGTGTGCGTGGGGGGAGGAAATTAAGTCACCCCTCAAAAAAAAATAAGGCCCGGTCTTATTTTGTGAGAAACACAGTAGGTTGTCATTATTAAGAACAGATTGTTCAAAATTGATGTGATTGAAATTAGTAACTGCTCAAAGTTATTTATTTATTGCATAATGTTTCAGCCAGCAAATCTGCAATAAGAAAAACATTGTGCTAATTTCATAATATGACTACACTGGTAATTAAAATATATTACTTACCTCTATAGTGAAATGTTCTCCTGTTGAGCATGTCCTGAAGTACTTTGATCTAGAATATAAACCATCAGTATTTATAGCAGAATTACTGCTATATTTCAAAAGTCATGAGAATAATTTTTTCCTCATTAGAATCTGTTTAATAACCTCCCATGTATAATATTGGATACTACACTTTTCAAAACTTTGTCATGACAAGCTGCACATGGTTACATGCCCTGCTTTTCTTAAAATACTCTTTTAATAAAAGCTTGAACACAGTCTTGGATATATGTAGCAAAGAAAGGCATGAAATTAGAACTTATGATTCCCAAATCAAGAGTTGCTAGCGTTAGGGTTAGGTATGGCATACTAAAAATATTCTGCAGACAGAGTTTACATATCACATCACACCATGTTTGTTTAGACTTGGTTTTCTGAATAAATCACAATTTATTACATTAATACAAAACCAATTGGACCTTGTGGCAGTATAAAGCAATGGGTGAGCCAAACAACCATATACAAGCCTAATTTGGAAACAATATATATCTGAATAATTGAAAAGAATCACCTAGCTCTGCTATATTGCAATACTGTAATTTCTGCCAGCATATATTAGCAGAATGGCAAGGTGTACAGTTGAATCTCCTTTCCTATCCTTCTAGAAGAAAAGAATTAGAATGACCGGTCTATTTTGTAGAACATTAATTTATCTATCTAGCATTCTAAATGCCATGTTCTCAAGTGAATAAATGATGTTGCACTGACCCTGTAAATAAGGGCTTGGCACATGTATTGAACACAGCTGGATTGCAATGTGTGTTCTACACATCACTGATATTATTTATGTATTTTGGATATATTCAATGTAATACTATGAAAGAAATTATTAAAGACAGTAAAGCCTGTCTTTAACATATATGGTATGTAAAAATATGTATCAGCTATGAAAAGGGTAAGTATTTTTTACCCCTTACTCCTTTCTGAAAAACACTGACCATCTGGAGCAACGCAGGGTGTTTGGTGAATTGAAAAATCCACTCTTCTCCCAGAGAAAGCTCAACTGGGAGCCCTGGTGGCCCAGTGTTTACAATACAGTACTGCAGGCTAACTTTGACCACAGCGATGAGTTTGATCCTGACAGGTCCAGGTTCACTCAGCCCTCCATCCTTCCGAGGCCGGTAAAATGAGGTCCTAGACTGTTTTTAAAGGAAGTGCATGACGCCTATTACTTTCCACAAAATAAAGGAGTATTATAAATTTAGTTATTCTCCAGATAGGATAATAAAAGTAATCCCAAAGCTCTAATTATATTTATTCCCATAAGCACTTAAATAATAATGATGTGATTCCTCTGGGTTTGAAATGAAAGTTGACAATGAAGATGCTGAAATTACACATGACTGGATTTCTAATTATACCTGCAGCACAAAGAAGGCTCCTTTACAACAAACAATTTAAGCCAAAGGCAACTATATAATAAGCCACAATTATGTCAAAATAAAATACACACCATGATATTATATATTTGTTATAAGATCCAATGCATTTTCTTGTGGACATCATGATGTACATATTGTCATTTATTCACTTGGTTCATTGAAGATATCTATGATTAAACAGGGCTTTTAGATTATTTTGATACACTACTTCAAATTGTGTATCTTCAAAATAAAGAGCAAGGTGAGATTTATTTTCTATTGCATTGATCATAAAATAAGTAGAGTTCCAGTTTCAAAAGAAACTTGTAAATCCTTTGGCACTAGAAAAATTAATCATCACCTTTGGAAAACAAAAATATCCTGGGAGCAATAGACAATCAAAGAAAGCCATTTATATTTTTAAAAACTATAGCCTACCAGACTTGTTTTGTATTTCTCACAGCTTCCAGATTCCTAAGGGTGTGTATTTCAGTTTAGATTAATATACGGAACACTGAAAAATATTCAAGCATAAATGATCCTATGCTGATGTAAAAAATGCAATTGTCTGGTCTAATATACACTGCTCAAAAAATAAAGGGAACACTTAAACAACACAATGTAACTCCAAGTCAATCACACTTCTGTGAAATCAAACTGTCAACTTAGGTAGCAACACTGATTGACAATCAATTTTACATGCTATTGTGCAAATGGAATAGACAACAGGTAGAAAGCAGAGGCAGTTAGCAAGACATCCCCAATAAAGGAGTGGTTCTGCAGGTGGTGACCACAGACCACTTCTCAGTTCCTATGCTTTCTGGCTGATGGTTTGGTCACTTTTGAATGCTGGCAGTGCTTTCACTCTAGTGGTAGCATGAGACGGAGTCTACAACCCACACAAGTGGCTCAGGTAGTGCAGCTCATCCAGGATGGCACATCAATGCGAGATGTGGCAAGAAGGTTTGCTGTGTCTGTCAGCATAGTGTCCAGAGCATGGAGGCGCTACCAGGAGACAGGCCAGTACATCAGGAGACGTGGAGGAGGCGGTAGGAGGGCAACAACTCAGCATCAGGACCGCTACCTCCGCCTTTGTACAAGAAGGGACAGGAGCACTGCCAGAACCCTGCAAAATGACCTCCAGTGGGCCACAAATGTGCATGTGGCTGCTCAAATGGTCAGAAACAGACTCCATGAGGGTGGTATGAGGGTCCGACGTCCACAGGTGGGGGTTGTGCTTACAGCCCAACACCGTGCAGGATGTTTGGCATTTGCCAGAGAACACCAAGATTGGCAAATTCGCCACTGGCGCTCTGTGCTCTTCACAGATGAAAGCAGGTTCACACTGAGCACATGTGACAGATGTGACGGGATCTGGAGACGCCGTGGAGCATACTGCCTGCAACATCCTCCAGCACGACCGGTTTGGCAGTGGGTCAGTAATGGTGTGGGGTGGCATTTCTTTAGGGGCCGCACAGCCCTCCATGTGCTCGCCAAAGGTAGCCTGACTGCCATTAGGTACCGAGATGAGATCCTCAGACCCCTTGTGAAAGCATATGCTGGTGCTGTTGGCCATGGGTTCCTCCTAATGCAAGACAATGCTAGACCTCATGTGGCTGGCGTGTGTCAGCAGTTCCTGCAAGATGAAGGCATTGATGCTATGGACTGGCCCGCCTGTTCCCCAGACCTGAATCCAATTGAGCACATCTGGGACATCATGTCTCGCTCCATCCACCAACATCACATTGCAACAACAGACTGTCCAGGAGTTGGGGGATGCTTTAGTCCAGATGTGGGAGGAGATCCCTCAGGAGACCATCCGCCACCTCATCAGGAGCATGCCCAGGCATTGTAGGGAGGTCATACAGGCACGTGGAGGCCACACACACTACTGAGCCTCATTTTGACTTGTTTTAAGGACATTACATCAAAGTTGGATCAGCCTGTAGTGTTTTTATCCACTTTAATTTTGAGTGTAACTCCAAATCCAGACCTCCATGGGTTGCTAAATTTGATTTCCATTGATAATTTTTGTGTGATTTTGTTGTCAGCACATTCAACCATGTAATAAACAAAGTATTTAATTAGAATATTTCATTCATTCAGATCTAGGATGTCTTATTTTTGTGTTCCCTTTGTTTTTTTGAGCAGTGTACATTTTCAATATATCTTTACTGCTAAATAAACTATTCATCCTGGCTTTTAATAAAAGGTGTCTATTAAACCCATGAATTCAATCACTTGCTCAGTGTTAGAATCCAAATTAAAATATTTTTGACAAGTGGATGCCTTCATTTATATTAGTGAAAGGAAGTTGTGATGTAACTTGTTCCATTGCTAAATTGTTTCAAATTTACAAGTCTTTTTTCTACCACTCAAGAACCTGTCTTCCTACAATTTATCTATATTTTTCAGTGTTCTGTTACCTGGAACTAAGGATAACAGGCCTTAATGTTCCATATCAGGGTTGTCAAAATGGTGGCCCACAGGCCACACATGTCATGTACAGGCCACGCCCAGCCCAGCTCTGCGAATGGGAAAAACGTCACAAAATGTCATGTGACGGCAAGGTGATGTGGTGAGTTTGACACCCGTGTTCTATGCGAAATCTTTTGAGATATTTAAGAGAACTGGTGGCATCAGACTAGAAAATAGAGATTAATGATTTGAGGCCAGTCACTTTCAATCAGCCCTAGAAAGAAGACAATGCTAAACCACTTCCAAAAAATTGCCAACAAAACTGCAGTCTCATCCTGGCAGTTACAATGAGTGACTTGAAAATAATAATAATAACAATAATAATAATCCCTTTCCAGTATTCTTAAGACTATAAATATTCCAGTACTTTTCTCCTTTAATGTACTTATAGTAAACTGAAATACTGTATAGTGAGACTGTATAATGATTAACATAATATAGACAGAGATTGCCTTCAAGAAGAAGAGATCTTCCCAATCTGCTCCCTATAAAGTACTGTGGCTACCTGGCATCATTCCAGAAGCAGGGCTCCATTTTGGAGTGGCCACAATTCACTGTGGCTGTTCCCAAAATGGCACCCACTTTCAGGAAACCACCATATGGCTCCTGTTTAGTAAGGCTACGTGGTAGATTAGCTTCAAGGAAAACTGGCTGATCTATCCCTCGGCTTCTGTATAGAATGTACTGGCTGCTTTCCGAAGAAGATCTATAAAAAAGGTAAGTGGACTAAACTGGGTTGAGGGTCTGGAGAGAAGTGTGTGGCACCCTGCAGGGTGTGAAGTGGGGCATGGGATACCTCCAGGACTGGGAGAGGCCATGGGAAGCCACGTTTGAACTAGGAAGGTGCTGTAATGTGAGCTTGAATATGTGCTAGGACTGTCACTACCTTCCTCAAAATAAATCCATGCTCCACTCAATGACTCATGCAGTCACACTAAATTGTATGGTTAAAAAAAAAGTTAATAGCAATTGCCTGCAGGGCTATAGGCTGAATTATTGCCCCTTTTATCCATAGGAGGCCTATGAAAATGTGGAAATAAATAAAATGTGCTCATCAAAAGGAAACTATTTATACCTGCCCACTTCCTTCTTCTCAACCTAGTATTATCCTCAAATAATACTCCAGCCTTTGAGAGATGTATGCAACGAAATTTCATTTTAATGTCTGCTGATTATGCACATTCAGTGACAATAGTTATTCTATGCTATGCTATGCTACGCTATTCTATTCCTATTCTATTTCTTTTCTATCCCTATCCTCATCCCTATCCCAGGCAAATAGGAAAGGCCGCCAAATTATTGGCTATCACTTTGCTGTGAACACAATTAAGCACATACCTGAATTGGCCTGTAAGTATAGCAAATGAGTCTATTTTTCCCCTAATGCGATCACTCTGCTAAACAACTAATTCCCATAACACTGTCAAACTATTTCGTAAGACTGTATTACTAATTATTCATCTCATCCTTCCTATTACCTATCTCTTCCAACTTACTACTATAACCGTGTTGCTCGTATCTTTACAATTGATATTGTTTTGTTCCCTAGCATGATTTGATTGCTTATTAGTAACCTATGATCATCACTAAGTGCTGTATCTTATGATTTTTGATGAATGTATTTTTAATTTTTTCTTTATGTACACTGAGAGCTTATGCACCAAAGACAAATTCCTTGTGGGTCCAATCACACTTGGCCAATAAAGAATTCTGTTCTGTTCTAAAATCGTTTATTCACTCCACACCACCAGACTTAATTAGAAAGCCCACGTGCAAGTCGAGAAGCCCCAATATACCACCTGATCCTATCGTTTCGTTAAAGACACCCGTCATCACCCCTGTTTTCAGCCAGGGTGAGCTGGTGGCTGCCTGTCTCTTGCGGGGACCTTCGATCCGCACGTGGACGGCAGCCCACTGCAGCTCCACCAGACTGAGGTCACTTAACTCTACGCCGCAGAGGCCAACCTGATATCTCCGGAAACCTCCCCCTCCACGTCCCTTCCGGGCATGGCTGGAAGGCCAGCGCCTTCAGGCACGCCTGCCCGCCGTTCACTCGGGTTCAGATAGACTGCCGGTGACCATGGAGGCTTTATTCAACCCTCCCGGGTTAACAAGGTCGAGAATTCTGGCTGAATTCCCCTCTTCCAAGGCACCTCGAAGCAAAGCGGGGAAGGGCTCCCTGCCTTTCTGTCACAGGGCCGGCCTGTCCTGAATTGCCCCGGAAAGGCGGCATGGAAGGCAACCGGCCCAGCCCTGACGTCCCACCGGGCTTACCCTCCTCCTCGTTGGAGGCGTCCCGCTTCCCGTCTCGGGAAGACCCAGCAACACCACTGCGCCGCCCAGCTGTTGCCCATGGCATGCTGAGAGAGGGCGGCCGGGGGCGCTCGGTCACCCACCGACGGAGCGCCGGAATCGGTTACCACGGTCCCTCGGCGGCGAGCGGAAGAAAGAAATGGCGGGGCAACAGCTGTGACGGCTCCGGCTCTCGTGCATGGAGGAGAAAGGGGCACACGCGGCGGCGACCAGCCGTTACAACGACGGCGGCGGCGCCGAGCAAAGCAGCGACTCCGCTCCTTTCCCCTGCCTCACGGGCCCCCTCCCTTCACGTTGTGACGGCGAGCTGGGCAGTCGCGTGCGGCCGTCAGCCACGCCCACGCCTCATTCATCCTGGGACCGAAATGGCAGGGAAGCGCATGCGTAGACTTTGACGTTCTGACTCCTCCCTTACTTTTAGATGAGATAGGAGTGTGATCTCCTGCTGGGAAGAGATAAAAGGCTGGTGGTTGGGTTTTGTTTTGTTTTGTTTTGCGGTGGAGGGGACAGGGGCTGGCGGATACCTGGGATTAAATGAATAAAATAATTATTCTAACTAGTTACAGAGGATGCCGGGGTTCCGTTGGCGGAGTCCCCAGACTTGTTCTGCTTCCGAGAGACTGCTGCATTCAACCTATATTGATTGCTTTTAATCTAAAAAAAAAAAATCCTCTTCCGGTTCTGATCATACGGTGGAACGGTCAATATATACACATACTGTACTGCTTAGTATTGCTGGAAGTATCTCAGATATTCTCAGAAGCCGTAAGAGACTTTGCTGATTTGCTTTTACAGCTGGGTATATTTTGAGGCAGTTCCGCCCTCTTGCCCTTCTCTTTTGCTTTCAGACCTGAAATGCTTTATTGACCATGCAGTTTATTGACCATGCAGTTTAACCTTGACTGCTGCTGTTTCCGTGGTTCAGCTTTGTTGTCTTTGCTACTTTCTTCCCATTTCTAGCTCATTTAACTTTTAACTTTGTCACTTGTATCCTTATGATTTATATTTACTGTTTCCTAGTATGATTTGATTGCTTATTGTACCCTATGACTATAAGTGTTGTACCTTATGATTCTTGACAAATGTATCTTTTATGTATACAAAGAATATTTGCACCAAGACAAATTCCTAACCCTAACCCAAAATACTTGGCCAATGAAGAATTCTATTTAACATGAAACAAGTAACAAAAGATTGACAAATACTTATTAGATTCAAAAGACTTATTTTAGTGGCTCAGCTTTCGCTCCTCCTGCCTTTGAAACTAAGTTGGAACAATATTATTAAACCACAAATCTGCCCACAATGTAGTAAAGGGCTAAGGAGGAATAAATACTGTAGAATGGCAGAAGTTAATGGAAAAGGAGCTTGTGATGGATGAAATATTTGTAGAATTTTTAATGTTCCTATATGATGGTTACTTTTTTGCTAATTTTCTTTAGGCATTTGGCTTTATAGTTTAATAATAACAAATTATTTCGGGAAAGGGAGTTTGACCAGCTGAGGAGGAGAGATGCGGCTCTCCTCGACCCTGCTGGCGATCTCTCCCCTCTTCACCACCTCTACAGGGTGGCTTAGCCCCGAAACCAGCTGGCTCGGGGTGCTCCAGCGGCAAGCCCAGGCAGAAACTGCGCACGATCACGGATTCCTGCCTGCCGTCGAAGCCCTGCAAACCGTTGCTTCTTACTCATTTCACATAGTGCTGGAACCAACAATATAATGAAATAATGGGGTTCAGAGGTCTAGTTTTTTTTAAAAATCACATGAGTAATACTTTCAAAGCAATGGATTCTATTCAGAGGTGGTATTCAGCAGGTTTTGACCAGTTCTGGAGAACCGGTAGTGGAAATTTGGAGTAGTTTGGAGAATACCAAATACCACCTCTGACTGGCCCTGCCCCCATCTATTCTCTGCCTCTTGAGTCCCAAACCTGGGTCTTCTTTTGTTGCCCTGTACAGGAGAACGGAGCTGGAAAGCAGGTTAGTGGGGTGGGGATGGAATGGGATTTTGTAGTATCCTTCCCCTGCCACGCCCACCAAGCCATGCCCACAAGCCACGCCCACAGAACCATAATAAATTTTTTTGAATCCCACCACTGATTCTATGTGACAACTATTATCAGACTCTCAGAGAAATCTACCAAGTTTTATAAGGCAGTATTTTTCTTCTCAGTCTCAAGACAAGTATTTTTTTTATCAGTGTTTCAGCCCATTAATCAAGCCAAGATGAAGTTTAGATTAAAAAAAAAAGATACTTTACTCAAAAATCCTCACAATTACTACAGGTGACAATCCCATTTATTTCTTATCATCCAAAATTATCTCTTAGACCTAGACCAATTAAGTTGACTTCATGATAGGCCTGAAAGAAATTTTTTTTTTTTAAATTTCTCAGAATGCTTCTCTGAAATATCTTGTCTAAAAATTTTATAGAAAGCAATCAGATTTTTATAATTCAACTTCAGAGGTATTAGAAAGATAGGTTCAGTTGCTTTGTAATTTTCTTTTTCTTTTTTGCTTTATTTCTGCTATTATACAACTAAAAGATAAATGCTTTAAAAAGAAAAGAATCAAGTGGAAGAAAGGAATCTATTTAACAACGCTACACAATGAACTGTATAGGAAGTCTGAATCTCAAGATCCTATCATGCAGGCAATATTAGTTAACATATTTTTATTTGGAATTTAGTACCAGTGATTCTAGCCTTCGTTGATTTTTCTATTTGGCTCTTTTTTGATTAAATGCTTACTGTACTTATATATTAGATTTTTGGCACTGTGGTTGAGCGGTTAAGATGTTGGTTTGAGACCCAAGCAACACATGACAGGGTGAGCTCCCATCCTTCCCAGCTCCTGCAAACCCAGCAACTTGCTTTCTAATTTTCCCATAGCTGAAGGAGAAAGTATATTGCATAAGAATTTTAAATCTTTAGTTGAATTAGAACACAAAGAAATAACCGATAAGAACCAATTCTTCACCAGCCTGTCCTAATCAGGAACCATCTTGCCTGAAGACCAATCACAAGTCAGTACATCTGATTATAAAGACAGAATCCCAGTTAGTTCCTATTCAGTTACCTGTGGTCTGCAGAGCTAACTATCTTACTTCTGAAGATGCCAGCCACAGTTGCTAGTGAAATGTTGGGGAAACTGTTGTCTAGATTGTGGTTACTGAAGACTAACACTAGTCAGGTTCAAGGTACCTTATTCCAAAATAATTTAATAATAGAATTTCTGGCATCCTAAACCAAATCAAACAATGTAGTTGTGCAGTGGTTTGGACTTGATTCATAAAGGGCACTTTAGAGTTTATGAGTATGAATGTAGAACATATTTGCAATCTTTTGCAGCATCTTTTCCTGGGTTAGTAGAGCTGTTCTCTGCAGCTGCTATGCAATCCTGGGAAAAGGTGTACCTGATGAGTTATGTCCACACACATCCATACATTCTAATATACTTTTTAAATCTTGAATGTTGTGCAGTCCTATTGAACCACACAAGCAGAATAACTTAACATAATAATTTATAACAAGTTTGCAAACATTTATTAGCCCCTCTCCTTTCTGACATATTTTGTAGCATGTAAACAAAGTATCAGGAAAATATATATTTATATGCCATGTTGCATAGATCAGAACAGTATCAAAGATAGCTATCTCACAAATTGCTTTGCTCGTGGCTGTTGCTCAAGCAGATAAGCTCTCAAGCTCATTGATGTTTGGCAAATGACCAGTTTTAAATTGTTGGTGAGAAGCAATATATTAAGTTACTCTCATTATTAGCTTTGCCCTAAATTGGATGTAATAGGGAGATTCTTTTAGCATCAGAAGGAAAATGTATGCTCCATCACTAAAATTAGAATAGAATAACTATGCCCCCAAGAAATCCTCTGAATAGGTAGAATTCGTTTCTATCAAATATGTTCAAGCTTATTTTATTGATTTCATTGAGTTGTTCAGGACTTGGATATTTTTTTCTGACCAGAGTTTGTTATGTAGTTTGTTTTTTCCTGAGGAAAATGTCTCTAAACCGAAGAACACAAAAAGGAGGAGGATGGAGAAAAATTAGATTGGGAATAAGAGCCAAAATGTGAATTGGTTCAGTTATGTGTTTTGCCTGCTAGGATTTGCCGCAATGATTTGTAACCTAGGAACAAACCACTGAACAGGTGGTTGGGATATTGATCAAAATGAAGGCAATGAGCAAGTTATTTTATCTAGCAATAATTTGCTTTCTCATCTACACTGCTTCCTTTGGGTGAATGCTTTAACTGTGATGGATTCCAAATCACGTGTAAGGCCTTTTCTCCATTGTACCTAACCACAGCATAAAGATTAATTTTTAAAAAGTATTTATCTTTTAGCAGTCAGCAAAATGTGGCAGTTTTGTGGAAACAATCTGCCATGATATATTCAGGAAATATTGCTATCAAATGACCCCTAGGAGATGGTATCAGCTTGGTCCTGATTGACCAGTTTAAACTGGTACAGAATGCGTCTTTCCCTGTGGTTCCTGGGTGCTGTCTCTTGGGGAAATTCAGTGGTGAGAAAAATAAGGCCAGGACTGTTGTGGCGATAGGGAACAAATTTTGTGCTGGCATAGTTTTATGCAGGTGCATAAGATTAGTCCTGAAGGGTCTAGGACAAACTCGCTGTGGGACAATTCAATGTTGTATTAATCTTTCAATTACTTTTCTTGTTGGTGACTATGTTTTCATCAAAATTATTGTAACTTGTATTTCTGGATTGTCTTTGTTTTATTATTATTGGCCATGGTTCCATTGAAATTAATTTAATTTGTATTTGTTGAATTGTCCTGTGAAGAGTTGTCCTGCAGTGAGTTGGCCACAGCGAGTTATCCCATTCTGTACTCTAAAAGTATTATGGTCTGGTTGATAGTTGTTATGTTCTTGCACATATTCCTGAAGATTTAAAAAGAATAAAGCAGTAAAAAATACTAATACTCCTTCACAAGAATATTGTACTAAACCCATGTTAAAAAAACAAGACTTTAAAAGCCATAAGACTTTAAAAAGAACCTGGGTAAGACATAATAAACATTATGGGAAGCACTGTTCTGGTGTTACGCAGCAGATGCCTCTAGGGAAATGAGTCATCCCTTCTTTTCTGGAACCTAAGCCGTATTGGCATGGAGGATTGTGCCCAGAAATCACAGATAGTCTTTGAGTTATGGCTACAATTGGGGCCAAAATTCATGTTGCTAAGTGAAACATTAGTTAAGTGAGTTTTGTTCCATTTTACGAATTTCCTTGCCACAGTTGCTAAGTGAATCATTGCATTTGTTAAGTTAGTAACATGTTTGTTAAGTAAGTCTGGACTCCTCATTGACTTTGCTTGTCA